ATCCCAGCACGATGCTTTCACCACAACAATGTCTTCCCTTCTGAACTGATCAGTGGAAATGGCCAAAAGTGGGGTTTTGTAGGCATTAAACCCAAATAAATAAATGCAGGGAGCAGTCCTCCTCCCACCCAGCTTCAGGAGCACTCACCTGGGTGTGGAACTGGTCAAACGTCATGACAGGCCCAAAGAAGAAGAATGGAAGGTAGAAGTTGTACTTGAGGAGGTCCAAGATGGAGTAGATGCCCTCTTTCCTCTTGGAGCTCTCAAGGGCAAAGCTCATGCAGCGCATGATGGTGAAGCCACTTCCTCCACAGAAGAGGACATCTTGAAGATCAAAAGCTCCTGTTACAAACCCTCTCTGGATGAGAAACGAAGAGTTACCACCAGGAACGTGGCATCACTTCTATGCTCCCTCGCTTTGTGGAGGACATCACTCTGGGGACAGCTGGCAAGGCCTCTAAATATGCTCTGACACCAATTGTCCCTGGAGTTAATGAGCCTTGCTGTTGGAAAAAGAAAACTGGGGCTTGATTTCCCAGCTGGCTTCTGCATCTGGAGGAGCCGGGAAGTGATAGTTGCTCTTGGCCACGTCTTTACCAAGCAGCTGTGGGCCATGCAGACTTTGGTTTGGGGTAGGAATGTCACCCTGTCACAGGGACATAATTCTCCCCAGGGAGTGAAGAAAAGCCAGCACAAGCCTGATAGAGATGGAGGGAACACATTCCAGGAGGTAAGCAGCAGGCAGAGAGAGAGCATTGTCCTTCAGAGGGACTGAATAGCTCATAAGGTCCTTCCTGGCATTTTCTCTACCCACTAGTGTCAGAAAGTCTTAACTGGTCAGAGACCTAAGATAAAGGCACGGGCATTGCTGAACCTATGCCAGCACTGTGTTACAGATCAGGAAACTGAGGCACAGGGCAGGAACACACCTTGCCTGGCTGACAAACTGTTGTCTGAGCAACAAGGAGCACTCAGGTGTCCTGAGCTCTGGCCCAGCATGAAGCCACCAAAATACAACATAGCCCCCACGGGATTGTTCCCAAACTGAGTGACACAACAGCCAACTCCCTCTCAAACCCTGGGGGAGCGCCGGCGCATCGCCACCCGCTGCTCATCAGCCCTCACCGAAACCAGCCCCCCAGAGCAAAACAGAAAACCCCACTGGGGGCCGGCGCAGTCTCCATGAAACATCACCCCGCTTTTTAAGTGCTAAAGCTGTCTGACACGCGAACTGATTCTGGGAACAGAAGCGCTCCTTGGGGCCACACAGCCTCACACCTGTCAAAGGGGGAAGCCGCAGGATGACAGATAATCCTGCGGGATGGCAGCAGGTTCCCCCCCCCCAAAAAAAAACCCACAAACAACTAACTTGCAGTCTTTAGTTTTTGTAAAACAGGTACAAGGTAACCCCGAGACTCCTGACACAATTTAGCGCTAAAACCATGCAACAGCCTAAAAAAAAATGATGGTGCAACATTTCTACCCCAAAAATCTAGCTGTTGGTGTGTATTAAGGGAAGGCATTTCTGCACACAAATTTGCAGTTACCTTTCACACCACCTACAATTCACAGGCATATCTACGATCTATTGTTAATTCTCTCCTGATCAAAACACTCACCCAAGTAAGAGATCTACTGTTTGCAGTAGTTATGTTCAGACGTTTTGGTACTAAATATCTCGATAGGTTTTTTTATTTATTTATTTTAAACTGCATAATATGTGATGACAAATCTCAAAAGGTGAGATATTCTTACCCAAGTAATAAAAGGCATTTTTAAGTTCACTGCCATAGTGACAAAATGCCTGGGGCATTCATTTATGAATAATACTTTTAAGATTTGTTTTCTTAAGGCAGAGTGGATGATTTTTTAGTATGTATTTTATTTGGTATTGCGACCGTCTTGACTTAATCGAGCCGCAAACTCCACTAGTGTTCTTGTGGGCCGTCCTGCCATGCCTTTTCGAAGATAGGGCACCTCATCTTTGTTCGACATCACACCAGCTATATCTAAATGAGCCCAGTGAGAGGCAGTCACAAATTCCTTCAGGAATGCAGCAGCTGTGCATGCTCCTCCAGCTCTGTGGGAAGCAGAAAAATAGTATTGTTTCTACAGCAACACCAACAGCACAAACATTAAACAAATACACTGAAAGGAAGGGTCACATGGAGGATGTTGGTACATCTTACCTGCTGTATTTTCCAATGTTACTCAGATCTGCAAGAGGACAGTCTGTTACTTGTTTTGTGTAATGTTCAAAAAGAGGCATTCTCCAAACTCTGTCTCCTGTCAAAACACTGGCCTGAAAAAGAAACAGTGATGGTTTTGGCATTTTTTTTTAATAAACTGTATTTATAAGCCCTGGTATGATGCGTGCTTTTGTTTAGCCTTGATCAGTCTGAAAGATTTTCAGTCCAGTATAGTATATTGGAAATATACTGCAAAACAGTGAACCCTACTTTTTAGCTACTTCAGTGTTAGTCAAAAGGCAAAATCTAAAGACTACTTTTTTTTTTTTAAATTTCCTTTTTCCTGACAACACAAACCCTTCCTTTCAGAGGCTTCCTTTAGCCATCACACTTAGTCACTCATGATGCCTCTCTAAATTTGTTTGTGTTGTTACACAAGATCAATTATCTTTTTAACATGAACTAATTACTGTCAGCAGTCCATAGCTTAAGCATATGCAGTACGTTATCAGAACATGCAGATCCTTGATATGATGTGCATGCTGTATGATAAACCTCACTAAAGAGCTAATAATTATTAGTCAAAAATTATTTTCAATACAGTACTAACACCATTCCTATGAGAATTCAAAATGTAATAATTTGTCATATTTGCATAAAGACTAACTTTTCAGTAGCAACTATTACTGAATTATCTTTTAATTAACAACGCAGATTGTCTACCTCATAAAGGTGAGTCCAAAGCCAAGATGAGTTTGTGAACACTCCAGTTGCAGCAGACCCCAATGCAACATCCATGGCACCTACAGAAACACACCTTCAAGGTTATAAAAAAAAGGTAAAGGTGCACTCAAGATATTCCTCTGCACCCTGACTCCTCACAGAACTTTTCCTTTTTAATTCACATTATCAGCAGTTTCTAAAGTCCGTAAAAAATTAAGGGTTTAGTACACTTGCATTTTTAAAAGTTTAAACATTGTTAAAATATTTATGTAGTCTAATATAACAAGAATTCATAAAAATTATATTATATATCTCATTAAACTATGTTTTCTGTTTTCAGCTTGATGCTTTGCAATATTTCTAATATAACGTACTCAACAATAACAGTGCTTCAAGGAAAACATCCAAATTTTATTGTTTCCATATAAAAAAAAAAGTGTTTTTCCAATTTATAGGCCACTACAATTTTCAACCTATACTCTCCCTTTTGTGAATAATGCTTGCATAGATTTTTGCACAGCATATGTAGATTTACTTTAAATGAAAATAATCCTTATCAAAATACCTAAAACATGCCTAAACCAGAGGGTTTACGTATATATTTGATGCCACAGAAGTGCTTCTCTAATGCCAATACTCAATCCTCAGTGAGATTTAAAAAAAAAAAAAGGTAGTTTAACAAAATTATACGTCAAAGAAATTTTTACAGGATTTCTCCTCCTTCCTGCTTGGTACCCAAGGATCCCAAACACAGAGTAATACAGGAATACTTCTATACAAGTCAGATTAAAATCAGCTTCCCTTCTATTGAAATCTTCCACATCATTTGAACAGGTAAAACTGATGTAACTTAATTTAAAGCACTAGTAGAGAATATATAGAAAGATAATTATTTTGCTTAGCATATGTATTAAGCAACACAGTGGGTTCCTGTCTGAACTACTCTTCCATGTTTGCTCTCATTTGAGCTACAGTCATTTCAGCCATGACAGCTTGTTCCTGCAGTTCATGAGATGCATACACAATGCTAGTTTTAAATTTAAAACTGCAACCTCATTCATACACAACCGTAGATGAAACAAAGCACATTTTATTATGCCTGAAAGTACACATACTGAACATAAAATAAGAGATACTTCAGCCAAATGAATTCTTGGGAAGATGACAACTCTCCTATTCTCTAGAATCATGGAGACCTGAGCTAGCTCAGATAATGGAAGAGCTAGTGCTGGCTAGGTCAGAGCTCAGGCACTCAGGAAGCTGTTCACAAAGAAGCTATTTTGGCTCCAGCACAGCCAGTGCCATATGGACCTGGCAGGATTCTTCCACAACCACGCCAGCATCTCTGCATTACACAGCCCTGGGAGCTGAGAGGGCTTTGCTCAGAAATGGAAGCACTGGGAAACATTGTGCAGAAGCATCGAAGTCTGTGTAGGTTTTCCCCGCTCTTCTTAGTTCCAGCTCAGCTGGGCTGGCCCAACTTCATCTACATGAGCGTGTCCCCTGCATGCCAATACCCCCCACCAGTCCTAGAGACACGGTGCAGCTGTGCAAGTTAAGAGCATAAACTGTGCTAGCTCTTCTCCTACAACATGTAGAATCATCTCAGTTGCTTTTGAATTCTGGTTGGCTTTATATACACAGGCAACTAATCCACAGCCCAATTAACAAAAGTAACATAGAACTGACTTGCAAACTGAGCAGGGAAGGGAGACTGCTTACCTGTTAATGTTGCAGCATTCACAATAGCCCTTGGCTTAAAATTGTGGGCATAACAGAGGGCATCAGCTAACAGCAGTCTTCCTTCTGCATCTGTGTTATCTACCTTGAGGTGCAAAATTAGTAAAAACAGATTAACTACTGAAAACATCCCTATCACTGACTTCTTTCTACATACTATCTTAAACAGCTGTCAGATGGTGAACACGCTGTTCACTGTGAATGCCCTAGGAACTTCAGATAATCAAAATTTACTTAAAGAAAAAGGACAGTATTTATATACAGTTACGTTTATAAAATAAAAACCTATCTGTAGCTGAAGTCAAGTCATCTTGCAGCACTGCAACCTCCTCTGCATGCTGGGCCTCTGTGCTGCTGGCTCCTCAGAAGAGACTGGAGGCTGGGGAGGTGCCCCAGGGGAGTGTTGGGGGCTGGCTGCCATTCCCAGCAAAGCCCCAGGAATCCTGGGGGCTGCTTCCAAGCAAGCACAGAGATGTGGCCAATGGAAACCACAAAGGAGGAGAGAGTACCACAAAGAACCCCAGATGCATGTCTGCAAACAGTTCCTTGTTATACTGCTCTTTGGAGCCTGAAAGTTCTTCCCTCAGGGAAAAAAAAAATAAAAAAATCAGTATCCCCTTTCAGGGAAAATTTATGAAGAATTCTGAAAGATTCATTGCATGATGTGCTCTGAGCTACTAGCACTTTCTCACAAATTTCTTCTTTGTGGGGGAATATGCACCTAGTCTTTTCCCTCAAAGCAGAGTGACTGAACTGAGTTTTGGGAGAAGAACCACAAGGAACTGAAAGATTCAGCAAGTCAAAGGTGGCAGAATCACAGAAATACAGACAGAAATATTGATGAAGCCATCTACTTCTGCACAACATCAGTGGTCTACAGCACAACAAATTTCAGTACCATTTAATCTATAAGTATGGAGCAGTTTGGATTAAAGATGAAATATGTACACTGGGTACTGATTTGACAAGCTCCTTTGCACAAACAGCCCTTAGAGTTCTGATTGTACAGAGCAGCTTGGCAGTGTAAAGACCTTGGTCACATCAGCAGGAAACCAATACCCTTATATCTTACTCCAGATAGCAGAGAAGTGTCCTGAAGGGTCTGCTGGAAGCAATTCATGTTACTCATTCTGACTGAGAACCTTTATTTATGAGCACTGCAACAACCTCTTATGCTAAAACAAGATTTTCTGGCATGTTCAGTAAATGACCACACTTTTCATCTTTTCCTAGCAATTTATAGAACATGTCTAATGTCTTCGATCTAGATTTACATTTGAAAAAGAGAGTCCTACGATAGCAATTTCTGATTAATAACATGCTGCTTACATTCTTAAAAACAATACATTTGCACTGCTTATCTTTTTAAAAGGTCTTTTCAAATAAATACTCTGACTGCAGTCATACAACTTGACTGATTAAGCCAATTCACTAGAAGTATTCAAATTCCAAGCTTCACATGCATACCTGTATTGTTTTTCCATTCTTGGCTCTAACTACATCCCCAGGCTTGTTTGCCTTACCACTGGGCATGTTTTCACAGAGGGGTGCCAAACCTCAGAAAGAAAAAGAAAAAAAGTGCATTACTAGTTTATTTCTCAGAAAAGATGTAGAAAAAACACTTAGGAAAAAAATGAACACCTCCTTAAGAAAACAGTACTATTCTCATCTTGAATTTATGCTCAAACTCCAAATTTTCCTGGTTACTGAAAGACACATGGTCCAGTTTTCAATTAGGGAAATTCCTCTGCATGTTGCACCACCACATTCTCTCACCTACACCATTTCACCACTACAATTTACTTCTAATTTATGCCCAGACAAGTGAGATCAGAGGAGAAACAAATACCATCTTATGTCTTCCATACATGATTAGTCACCTGTAAAGGGATATCATTCTTTCTGAAATTAAAAACTTCTCAGATTAACACTCTGAGCCATTCAAGCTCTACTCATTGTAGATAAACACTGTGTAATGTTGAGGGGTCCAAGGATTCGCCACAGAACTCTAACATAAGAGCTGCAAATAGAGATGAGCAAAAAAAGGGGATCAGTGTCAAAACTCCAACTATGAATGGGATAACAGGATGAAAGGCACTCCACCGTTCCTAGGTAAAACCTGCTTCTGGCACAAGAAATAAGCAAACTGTGGACCACCACTTTTCAGTGGAATTATGTATAGACTTTTGCTCCACTTATTTAGCCCTTCCAATCGCATACTTTTCAGTGAGAATGTCGTGAGGATGTGTTTTGCTGCCCTCTACTGGCTAAAGCACAAAAGTGACTAAAATAGTTACCTGAAAGTCAAGGTTCTCTCATAGAACTTATCCTAGAATGGATTACATGTCATCACCAACTAGGGTTTTGCTAGGGTTCCTGAACTGGCTCATTTAATTTTAGCTGTGCAATATTTCTGCAGAAAAAATAAGCATTGCTTCTACTTAAAGATAGTTTCAACAGACTGGTTTTGCTTGTTTTAGATTTCTGCTGAGATGTTCACCTAAGGAAACAAGAGCTGATCCCTCTTCCTGTTCAGCTGTGGCAAATGCTCGTGGAGGTAGCTCTGCTAACTCCTTTTAGTTTTTAATTGTTTTTACAGATATCCACATTCCTTCTTGTAATGAAGGATCAGGACTTCTGAAAAACATGCTGAAATAAGTTTACTGACAATCTAATGACTCTCCTAAAATCTAAAAATCATGCCTTCAAAATTTTAGTGTGGTGTTGCAATATTTTATTCAAAGCTAGTAATTTTTTGATAAGCAAGTGGAAATGGAAGAGAGACTAAGCAAGGGAATGAAAGAAGTAGGTCTACAAGAGTCCATAACATTTCAGTGAGACCATTACCACTGCTGATACTAGAAAGCTACTGTCTAAATGAAATCTTGTAAAATTAAGATTTTTTGATTCTCACACAAACACACTTACCAATTATGTTAAGAGGTAGATTTAAAGCTGCTGCTGTCACAATGGCTGAACAGACAGTTGCTGCCCCTCCCATATCTGCTCTCATCGCATCCATACCCGAAGATGGCTTCAGTGAAATGCCACCACTGGAACAAACAGCACTAAGTATCATCCAACATGTAGGAGTTTGACATTGCATACATTGATCATGTTCTGTCCATCAGTATGTTTCAGTATCAGTGAATGCTAGACTTGGTGTTTGTCCTAGTTCAACTAGGATAGGGTTAGGTTCCCCCAGCAGAGAGAGAGGGGGAAGGGATCTCCAGCCGGATTATTCATACCATGCTGGCGTCAGGTCCAGGGGCAGAAACTTTTTACTTGCTCTTTGGAGGGCTCGGTGGCGGGAAGCTGTTCCGTGACCATTTTGCGGTATTTCTCTGTATATCATTTGTTTTGTTCACTGTTATTGCTGTTTATTGTTGTTATCATTGCCACTGTTGTTCAGATTGTTTATCACACTGTTGTATTAAATTTCTTCTTATTTTAGCCCGGGGTTTGTGCCTCACTGCCAGCCCGACTGGCTGAGGGTGGGCAGGGGCAACAGCAACGTGCTCTCCAGTCCCAGCAGGGCTTAAACCAGCACAGTGTTTTCAAATATTCCTGCAACATCTTAGTAAGCATACTGAAAGCAAGGTATCTGGGTTTTCATTTCAGATAAAATATGACCCTGGCTTATTTCCTCATAATTAGGGCACCATAAAAATCCAGGTAATCTGAAGCAGAGTAACTCAATAGTCTCCATGACAGAAGAGCCCAAAACAAGAACAAAATATTACACTTGGTAAAATCAGCACATGGAAGGGGAACAGTGATAAATTCTTCATTAGTTGTGTGACATGAAAAGCAGTTACAAGGAACTGCTGCAAAGAATGAACTACTTTTTCTTTCCTTAAGCATGATCTAGATGTCCAGTGACAGACTGCAATTCTAAACATGTAAATTCTTCATCCAGAGGTTTGCTCAGGCCAAAAAAAGGAAAAATAACATGTTCTTTGCTTTCCTTCCCCCTGAATTTCCATTTTCCCCTCACAAGATGGGGGCATATCAATTCCTACTTTGTCCAGCCACTCAAGCTTGTCTTATCCATAGGAAGGGCAGCACAATCTATTATACTATAAGGCAAGTTCACTGGAACGGCATTGGAAGCTGTGCTGAGCAAAGAAAAAGGAACTCCCCACTGAACATGAATAACAGGAAGGCATTTTCCCCCCTCTAGTCATTAAAATATTAGTATACATACCTGTCAAATGTAACTCCTTTTCCTACGAATACCAATGGGGAGTCATTTGTATTAGCACCACCTAAATAGTGAATCTCCAGAAAGATGGGAGGTTCAGCCGAACCCTTAGCTACACTCAGGAATGCTCCCATCTCTTGTGTTGCTATCCAAGACTCCGGTCTGGAATAGAAATTTTTTTTTTTGTAATTGGAACTTTAACCAAGGTGATTTTTGTTTGTTTGCTTTTAAGAGATCACAGTTCTTGAAGGTTCATACACAAACTATTAATTTAATTTTAGTTAGCTATTTTGGAAACTGTCATTTTAAATCCAACCATACTACTTTTTTTTGTGAAACAGAAAAATACTTCCTCAAAGTTGTTGCTTGGGTTTTGGTTTGCCTTGTTTAAAAAAAAACCAACCAAAACAAGAAAACAAACAACAAAAACATTAAACCACTTCCTGTGAGGCTGTAGTCTCTGAAGGCATATGAAGGAACAATATTGCAGCAGGTTACAGTTTAGCCTTCTGCTATCAAGATAAGGTTAGCTATAGGCAAAGTTGATTTCCCTCGGTCTTTTGCTTTTCAATAAAACAGCCTCCAACACTTGAACAAGTTAGCCCAACAAAGAGCAGTAGCTAGAAATTCAGAGGCAAGAAGTATTAGCTGTGTTGAATTCAATTGCAGGGGCTTTTATGGCTCCATCTCAACATTTTTAAAAGCTAAAAAAAACCCAAAGAATAACAGCAATAAATAGAGTATGTTTAATTACCAAATCCAAACAAAAAAGAAAAGCTATGTATAAAACCCACTCAGGAAGAAAACAAAAAATATTAGAAAAAAGGTACCTAGTATTTGCCCTCTATTCACCAAGTCTCCCTCAGGCTTCCTTTCACAGTACATGCTAATTAAGCAGTAATTGACTGCATGACTAATATCTTGCTTACTCTGCAAACTAGAAGCTCACCTTCTAATACTGAGAGTAGCCTGCAGTATGGGCACCCCTCACACCTTTTTGCCAAACACATCCCCTGCTTTTCTCATTTGAACTGGCAGAGTGAAAATGAGAACCTGCTGCAAATATGAATAACCTGGAAGGTATCTTAGCCTACAGAGGAATCATTTCAATGGAACTTACCTTATATGGACCTTCACATTGCTGAAACTTCTGAGCTTCTGTTCAATATGTTCGGCAAATTTGATTGGAGTTATATAATTAGCTGGAGCCTCCATAAGGTACCGAGCAAGATTCTGACCCTCAGCATAGGTAACACCTCTTTGCCACGCTTCACTTTCAGCACTAAACACCACCATATAATAATCAGGATCATAAACATTTGCAAAAGTAAGATGTCAGCATCCATCTGTTCTCTCCAGTTTATCATTAATTTGAGGCAATTAAGAATGTCATAGTAATCTTACTACAAGGAATTTAATATGAGATCCAAGATGCATCTAGTCTAGTAGTTCATCTCTGGTTCTAGCCAGTGCCAGCAACTAAAAGAATCCTAGAGCAGACAGATGTAAAATTATCTGTCTAATACATTAGGTCTTGTCCTAATCCTTACTAGTCAGAGATTGACTTAAATCCTTAAGCACAAGGTTTAATACCCCTTCCAAAATCTGTAATCGCATTAACAGCCCCGAAAGTTTTTATTTACCATATAAAGCCTCCAATTCTGTTTTTCACTTCACTGAAATATGATTAGGTGATAAGAGTGGAATTTGGATCTCATTTCAGAGTGCATTCAAAGCATTTCACTAATGAATGACAGACCATTCAAAGAGCTGCCTGCATAGGAAATGAGGATGTCTCTCTTGTTACTTTGCAACATTACCAGTACAAAACCTTTCTTTTACTGAGGCAGAACTGAAACGCTGATTTGCTTTAAAAGATATCACAAAGCAGGGCATTAAGCTGGATTCCACCTCTCAAGAGAGCAACACAGCGAAGGAGGAATCCAGGAGGAATTTAGAAACATTGCCTGGATATGGAGGGATGGAATTAAGCAGCCAAATCTCAGCTGACACTGACAAGAAGCAGGAAAGGCAACAAGGACTTCAACAGGTACACCACCAGGAAAAGGAAGGTCAGGAATAATGCTGACCCCGTGCTAAATGGGGCAGGCATTCTAGTGAACACTGAGAAGACTGAAGTTCTCAATGCCTGCTTTGCATCAGTCTTCCGCATTCAGAGTCCCCAGTTCTCTGTGCTTAGTAACAGAGTTTGGGGAAGACAGGTACTACTCCCAGCAGAGGAAGACTTGGGACTGCTTAAGGATGCTGGACATACACAAATCCTTAGTAGCAGGCAGGATATATCTGAGAGGGCTGAGGGAGCTGGCTGACACCACTGCAAGCTTGGTGTCTTTCAGTTTGAGAGGTCACAGTAACTGCATGTGGTCCCTGATGACTAGAAAAGTACTTAAGAATAGCAAGGAAGATACAGGCAACTACAAGGCAGTTATCCTAGACTAATCACCTAAAAGTTTATGAAGAAAGTCATCCTGGAAGCCATTTCTAGGTACATGAAGGACAAGATGGTCACTGGGAAGAGTCATTATAGATTTATTTGGGGCAAATCATGTCTGAACAACTTGACTGATTTCTATGAAGAGAGGGTTGGCTTTAGCAAGGCTTTCACATAGAATCCTTGCAGACAAACTGAGAAAACATGAACTGGAGGGGTAAACTGCAAAATGGGTGAAAAACTGCAAGAACTGTTGGGCTTAGAAGTTAGCAGAGTTACATGTAGTGTTCCTCAAGGGTTGATACCAAGACCAATACCTTCATCAACAACTTGGACAATGAAATGTACCCTCAGTTGTTCACAGACAGCGTCACATTGTGGGGAGCAGCTGAAATGGGGAATGTAGGGCCACCATTCATAGGGGCCTTGATAAGCTGGAGGAATGCACCAAGGGGAACACTGTGAATTTTAACAAAGAGTGGTGTAAAGCCCTATTCCCGGGACTATGCAAGTCAGGCTAGACACTGACTAGGCAGAAAGTGATGTCTCAGAAAAGAACCTGGGGTTCCTGGCAGACAAGCTGAACAGAAGCAAGCAGCACATTACTGTGGTGACAAAGCTCAACTGTGTTCAATTAGAGCACGGCCAGCATGTTAAGGGAAGTAATTATTTACCTCCTTGGCATTGTGAGGCTGCATCTACGTACATCCACTTCTGAGTTCCTGAATATAAACCCAATACTGATAAACTGGAGAAAGTCCAAAGGAGGACCCCTAAGAGGGGTAGAGAACTGGAGCACATGGCATATGAGAAGCTAAGAGAATTGAGTTTCTCTCACCTAGGGAAGAAAATTTTAGAAAAAAATCTAATTGCAGACCTTCTCCTACCCTTAAACAGGGTTTATAGAGAAGATGAAAGAGACATCTCAGAGCTGCACAGTAAGAGGGTAAGAGACAACAGTCTCAAGATTCAAAGGAAACTGCAATAGGACAAAGAAAAAAAATCACCCTGAGTGTAGTTAAGCACTTGAACAGATGGCCCAGTGAGGCTGTTTCTGAAATTTCTATCTCAGGAGATGATCAGGCCTTTGTCTAGTCCAGTTCTGAGTAACTGGATGGAGCTTTAAAGTTTTATGTAACTTCCAGCTCCAACTTGGATTAGAGATAACCTGGGCTAGATGACTTTCAGAGGTCCTTTCCAACCTAAATTATTGTATACAAAAGTTACTTCCAGTGTCATAAGTGGTCATAGGACCATCTATGTTTTCAGGAAATGTTTATTCAATATAAACATGATTGTGTCCCAAACTATCTGCTGTGTTACAAAATGGGAGGAGTGTTGCACGTATCTTATCAAGACATGCTTAAATTCAGAGTTTTATTTTATTTCACTAACTTCCCCATAAGGAAGGCCTTGTTCCTGTACAGAGTACATATGGGAAATACCTCTTTTCTGCATGACAGAATATCCTATATGGAAGCTCCAAAGTCCACTCTGATAAAGTAAAAAGGGATTAATAAAACTCTGTTCTGGATCCCAAAGCTCTGATATTACTTTCTGCTCTCAGGTAACAATGATGTCTATTTAGAGGCCAGAAGCACCCAAGCTTATCTTCTTGCATTATAATCTATGAATGCAAAAACAACAAGTGAACTATGTAAAACATATCCACCATGGGACAGTCTGGCATCAGTTAGCATTTCCTGATTCTCAAAAGGATTTATTCATTTATGGAATCTGAAATACCTCTGCTCCACAATTTTGGCACATAATACCAACAGAAGTCCTTTTACGTTGCAACTATGCTTCAAGTAAATTTTTACTTTCGTTTTTATCCCAAGTCTTCTCTTCTATGAAGCAGCATTTATTAACCCTTAACTTCAGAACAGCATACTAACCAAACATGGCGCAAACATTATAAATATAATTGAGATGTAAAATACTTCAGGAAGTTAAAAGGAGGAGTTAAGAGGGATATTGCTGCTAGGCCTATTCTTTCAGTTTTATATTTTTCTCATGCATGGACACAGTTTTATAAATAAACGAACAGACAGATAAAGTAGGCAAGCTTTCCTTTTGCCATCACCTTCCATGAAGCTGAGGAGTAACTACAGGTTTCTTCTTTTGCTTCAGCTCATTATATTCATGCAATCCAAGGACAGCACCTTCTGCAGCTGCATGAGCATCTCCACAGGGGTCTACTTCAACACAAGGGATCTCCAGATCTTGGATCTGTCTACAGCCAACTGAAAAATACAGTACAGAACTAGCAGGCTGACTGTTGCACAGAAGAGGAAAAGAGGTGTCTAAGGTGATCAATATGACATTTCAAGGAAAAATTAATTGTAACTGTTCTTTTCTTCCAAATGAATTTATACACACTTTTATAAACAGAAAATATTCCATAAATTCCATTCTGTACCCAAATAATTTAACAATGTTTTGTCAGCTGGTGAGACAACACAGTCTAGCACTCTGGATATACAGCTGCCATACACGTGGAACTGACCTCCAGTCTCAGATTATAAACTCTGTGCTGAGAACTCTTTTTATCCTTGCTTTAGACACACTTAGCTGCAGCAGTCATTCTTGATTAAGATAGCAGCCTCCTCTGCCTATGACAGATAACATACTGAATCATACTACTGATGCTGTGAAAGGTATCAGTATAACACAAATATCTGTTACAAACTAAGTGACAAAAGTCAATATAAATATATGTGCATACTTAAGTACAGAGTGAGCATGAAGTGTATGAATCAGTGATACTCTCAGGCTTCAAAATAGTAATTAAACAACTGCCTTTTCAATATCACACTGTTTAGTGAAGTTATTTGATATAAATAACTGCAGTTACCTGTCTGCAGATTGATTTACATGCCCTGTAACTCCTTTCTCATTAAGGAGAAATATAATAACAGTGACAAGTAAATGCATTTACCAAACTATGCAGTAGGATTTGCTTTTCAAAACAAAATCGTATCTAGACTCACTCTTCAACAATGGAACATGCTGTACCACTGCAATAGTTTAATAGTTTAACTATGTTTAAGAAAATTTAAAAATAAGTTAACCTGCAACAGCTGCACGAATATTTTCTTTGCCTTCATTCCAGTTTTCTTGGTCATTTACTCCAGGATTCTTCTTACCCAAGCCAACTACAACCACACTTGGAAAGTCCTAGATGAAGCCAACACACAAATGAATTCACTTTCCTCCTTGTTAGAGCAGAGAGCTGTTAAAAAGACCTTACTTTCCAAATCACAAAGCACAGCATTACAACACATTCAGCACATCCTCTATGTTCTGCACATTTCTTTGTTAAGCATGCCAGTATGGTACCACTATCTTGCACTCCCAGTCATTTGCCACAGGCATGGAACCAGTTGTTCTACTGTCCAGTAAAGCTTAATTACATGTATTGCAGCAGACAGGGCTCAACACATAGCAGAACTAATACTTCCAAGGTCAAGTTTAAGAATCCTTTAAAAGCAGATCCAGCTTTCCAGCTACAGCAAAGGCCAGAACTGAGCTGGAGAAGTGTAACCTTTTTTGGCACAATACTATGTCCAAGGAAATAAAAGCATTTCAAAGGCTGAGCCGGCATGATTTGCCAGGTAACAAACCAAAGCTGCACAGAGGTACACAGCTCCAGAAATCAGGAAAGTAATGTGGCATAGTAAACTAAATGCTTGCATTATAAGCTGCAAGCAGAAAGCAAAAAGGAAGAAATAACAAAGATTAAAGGAGTCTTTTAAGATTAGTCAAATTTGTATAAAAGTCAAGGTTATACATGTGAACAGATTTCCCATAGCTCTGAAGAAAAATGAAGTTAATCCTAGGCTTTGCCTTCTGTCAAACAGCTGCTCTGTCAGGTTCTAACAATCAGCTTTCAAGGTAAAAGACTTTACTTCAAATCAGTAGTCTTTAGTCCACAAGATGGAGAACTCGAATCCCTCATCTTCTGGAAAGGTAACACAAGTTAACCTTTTTTTTTTTTTAGTTATTGTTATTTTACACACTTAGAAAACTGCATAAGGCCAAATTCTACTACATTCTGTTGCAGGGATTTGCTACTTGCCCCAGAAGCCATGCTGTATGCAGAACTGGGATAATGGGACTTTCAATGAACTCAGCTGCTACAAAATTTCTGAGAGCCTTTCCACTGAGTCCAGTGTCACCTGTCTGGGGTCTCTGCACGTGAATCAATACACCGTAGGCAACCCTCACTATAAATTGATTTATTTAAAATTATTTAAATAGCCCTAATTAGGTGTTCCTGTCTAAGTAACTGAATCCTACGTGTCATATTCCATCTGCCTAGCCTCCAGCTACTATTCCAAAAAGGCACGAATTGTACCATATTTGCCAACTCCACGTAGATGCCTTATAGATGTATCATCAGGGCTTCTCAAATGGCACCAAAAGCCTAACTTAAGCAGACAAATCCCAGTCTCGTACCCTTGTGATATATGATGTCTGTGCAGACAAAAGTCCTGCGTCTTGTTTTCAGAGGTTTCAAGCACACAACTTTAAAACCTCTGACTAAAGCCTGTGATGGGACTATGTTGTGTTAGAACTGATACATCTGAAGGTCTTTGCACATACCAGTACACACTCATGCACTCACTCCTCCTGAACACACTAACAGGAGGCACAGTAGAAGTCTGATCCAAAACTGTTGTGCTTCAGCTCATTCAGTAAGCAGTTACTCAGAGCACAGCACCTTTGGAGCAGACTTGTTTACATCTTGCAGAAGGAGCACAGGACTGTGCAAAAGGCCATGCAAACATGGGGAGCACAGAGCAGGAGATTTCAACAAAAAACACATATTTTGTTGAGAGGGGGGAAGAGCAAAGCACAGCACAGAACTCAGCTTCAAATAAGATGCAAGCCAAACTTCAGACATTAGTCAACATGCAGACAAAAATCCCAAGTTTATACCTGATGCAAACCATGGAATATGCGTGTTTTGCCTTTTTTCAAAGGTGGCCCACACCTAGGACACAAAGAGATTATTTCAGTAAAGTCCTTATCAGCAATAAATCTTACGGTACAATGTTCAGTCCACAACCACAGTGCTCTGAGATGTTTGGCTCAGTGCCGATTCAAAGAAAAGCACAGTGCCCATGAACATTTTGCATGTTTCCTCAGTGCTTCACTCGTCCAGAGGAGTTCACCTCCAAACTGCTTGGTCTGGTAGAAGCAAATACCAGCCTGAGAAGTGGCATGGACACAAAGAATAATGATACAAGAGACCATTCTCACTGGTGTTTGCAGGTACTTTAATCCATTGCAGCAGCTTACACACACTTACAGGGACAGAAGTTCCCTCAGCTTTCCAGACACAAGTCTATCAAAAGCATCTCCCGCACTAGTGAACTGGGCAGCACCTTCATCCTTTTCACTTGAGTAGATTCCCAGAACGAGACCCTAAAAATGGAGAACATGTGTTAATATAAACACCATGGAAGGTAGAGACCCATCTGAAAGGCGACAAGCACCCTGTTCAAACCGTGGCCGCTGTTCTATGTATCCATCCCAGTTGATGTATTTATCCCACGTGATGCAGAGCGACACTTTGGTAAACCAGGATAAACTACAACTGCTTGGCTTGGAAAAGGAATTAGATGCAGTGTGACCAAAGTTATAATCATTTTGCTTAACACGTAGAGACAAAAACTCTTTCAACCTGTAATTTTAAGTACAAAAGAGCCTTTGGGGTTTTCTTTCCCCCTCCCCACCCGCAGACGCCCAGCCAGTCGCACCCAGGTGAGCGCGGGCAGCCGCACCGCTCCCCACCCGAGCCCACCG